ATCGCCGCGGCCGCCGAGCTGCTGGGCATGGTGCGCAAGGCGGGGGAGACAAGTGAGACTGGCGGCCAAGCCAACGCGCCGCCCCCCCCCCCCCCCCTGGACAGGCGGCCGCGCGCCCTCCCGCCTGCGCCGCAGGGGCACACCCTGGAGCCGCTGGAGGGCATCCGCCAAGGGCAGCCGCAAGCCGCTGCGCGCCAGCGCGACGGCACTCGCGCCAGCGCAGGCCGTGCGGGAGGTGCAGGTGGACACGTTCGGCGTCTCTGGAGCATCCGCTGATGACGTGGCCTGCGGAGGTTCAGAGCGCCAGGGAAAGGACTTCGCGCAGGTGGCTGAGAAGGGAGATCGAGGACGAGCACCAGTTCGACGAGCGAAAGCTGCAGGCCGAGGCGAAGTTGCGAACCCGACCCGACCGAGGCGCAGGTGGGAACCCGACCCGATCGAGGCGCAGGCGCATGAGATCGAGCAAGGGCTCTCGGCTCTCGGAGGAGCACCGAGAACTGGAAACTCTCACGAGGGTCATTCTGGGCAGCGGGCGCGTGCACAGAAGCCTCCCAAGTGAAGTCAGAGCAGATGGGGTCGGAGGATCGCGCCGCGTCGGCGGTACGTCGTCGACGAGGACGTCGAGAGACTCGGGCTCCACATCGAACCGCATCGCCGATGCATCGGCGATGCGGCGCGATCCTCCTTTTTCCCCACCCTAGAAGGGATGCCTGGCGTGCTGGCGCCCAGCGAGGCCGCGCCTCACCGACGCCAGGCCGCCGGAGGGGGCCCGAGGACGACAGGGGGGGGGGGGAGGGGCACACCAGACGAGGCGCGGCAGGTGCGGGACCTCCCCGCGGAGGAGGCGCAGGCACAGGGCGCCGGCCCCTCCACGCGCGCGGCGGGGCTCCTGGAGCTCCCGCGGGGCGCGCCGCGGCGGCGGCCTCGGCGGCACGCGGCGCATGCCCTGCACGCGGGGGGCGTGCCGCGCCGCTGCGCGGGGCGGGAGGCCTCGAGAGGCTCAGGACGCTGCCGCCTGGGGATCGGGGCATGGATGGCGCGTCGCGCCGCAGCGTGGTGGGCCCGAAGCGGCCAGTGCCGCAGACAGGAAGCCCAGAAGGTTCCCGACCGCACAGAGGAGGAGGAAGCAGCAGCACAAGACACCCTCACGCCGCAGCGCGGCGGAAGCGGCCCGCAGGCGGGCTCGAGCGGGCCGGGAGGAGGCGAGCGCTAGAAGTGTCCGGCGGCGCGAGGGGGAAAGACAGAGGGAACGGGAAGGGCGGGCGGCCGCGGGAGGGCAAAGGGGGGGAGCGGAGGGCACTCGTCGCAGGGCGAGGTGCGTCGCCTGGAAGCGGCCGGGGGCGGCCAGCCTCCGGCACCCTGGCAGTGGGCGGCGGGGCGGCGTCGCGGCCACACCCAGGGGCAGAGGCGCAGGCGCAAAAGGTCGCGGAGCGCAGGATGTGCCAGCACAGGGAGAGTAGACGAGCGCGCTCCACTCCTCGCAAAGGTAACAGCTCGCAGATGCTCCGGATCCGCCATCGGGGACTTACGATACACTGTTATGGATGCAGGCATGTGTGTTTTCGGACGTTTGCGAGTAGGCACCTTGCGAGCAGTGGAGCGCGCTCGCTCAGAGAGTCGGATGCGTTCAAGAGGGGGGCGTCCAAGAGGGGGGGCGCAAATCATGGCCGGCGGCATGTGGGCGGCCCGGGGCGGGGGGGGCCAGGAACGTCTTGAAACAAGCAGAGGCGCCTTGAAACCTGGGGAGATATCATGGCCGCCCGCCATGATATCCCCCCCCTGGTCATCACCCCCCTCTTTGCCACCCCCGATTGAGAGAGGGTGCGCAGGTCCACGACGGAAGAACATCGGGGATCTTCTGACCCGGGTCAATCCAGACCCGGGTCAGCAGGAAACCGAAAAAATGCAATGAAGGACAAAAAAACTGCAACGCAGGTCTTCGCAAACCCGGGTCAGCCAATATGCGCGGCTGCCTCGCGGCCACGAGCGGCTCGCAAACCCGGGTCAGCCAGAGGGGGTCTTTGCAGGATCCTGCAGGATCCGGTGCCCTGGCTGACCCCCGTTTGCATTGACCCCCGTCTCAAGGCTCCCGAGAACAGTCCAGCGCGATGCCGGCGCACGCAGCTGCAGCAGGCGGCTGCGGGCTGCCAACGCCACAGCCGGCTGGTGGCAGAATGCAGCACAGTGGGCGCAGGCCAGCGCCAGTCGGATCCAGGAGTGGGCATCGGGGGAGGAGGGGGAGGACGAGGAGAGGGAGGAGGAGGAGGAAGAGGAGGAGGAGGAGGCGGAGGAGGAGGAGGAGGCGGAGGAGGGGGAGGCGGAGGAGGAGGCGGGAGAAGGAGGAGGCGGAGGCGGGAGGAGGAGGAGGCGGAGCGGAGGTAGGAGGAGGAGGAGGAGGAGGAGGAGGAGGCGGAGGAGGAGGGAGGAGGAGGCGGGAGTAGGAGGAGGAGGAGAGGAGGAGGAGGAGGAGGAGGAGGAGGAGGTGGAGGTGATGGCCAGCGGCGCGGCCCCTCGGTGCAAGAGGATCGCCGGGGCCTCCTCCGGGCTTCCCCGAAACCGCTGCCAGCCTCGCTGAGGGCGAGGGGGGTCGCCCGTGCCCGAGTCCTCCAGCCGAGACAGCCCCTCCTCCCTGCCACCTCCCTCTGCCTCATGCTTCGCCTCCCTCCACGGCCGCCACCGCCTCCTCCTCCTCCTCCTCCTCCTGCTCCTCCTCAGGACTCCTCCTCCTCCTCTCCTCTCCTCTCTCGTCCTCCTCCTCCGCCTCCCCTCCTCCTCCTTCCTCCTCCTCCTCCTCCTCCTCCTCCCTCCCTCCCCTCTCCTCCTCCTCCTCCTCCTCCTCTCCTCCTCCTCCTCTCTCCTCCTCCTCCTCCTCCTCCTCCTCCCCTCTCCTCTCCTCCTCCTCCTCCTCCTCCTCCTCCTCCTCCTCCTCCTCCTCCTCCTCCTCCTCCGCTCCTCCTCCTCCTCCTCCTCCTCCTCCTCCTTTCTCCTCCTGTTTCCTTCTCCCTCGTCCCTCCTGCATCCCTGTACCTCCCCCCGCACCTGCGGGGGGAGCATGAGCATGAGGAGGAGAAGGACGCGATGAGGATGAGGAGGAGGAGGAGGAGGAGGAGGAGGAGGAGGAGGAAACGCAGGACGAGGAGGAGGAGGAGAATGAGGAGATTGGATTGGATTGGTTGACTCCTGTTGTGGAGAGAGGATGAACAGGAGAAGGGGGAGGGGAGGAGGAGAGGGAGGAGGAGGAGGAGGAGGAGGAGGAGGAGAGGAGTGAGGAGGAAGACGAGGAGGAGGAGGAGGAGGAGGAGGAGTAGGAGGAGGAGGAGAGGGAGAGTGGGCAAAGAGGAGAAGAAGGCGAAAAACAAACCAACCAGGATAAGACAAAGAAGACGGGCCGCTGTTGGCGACCGGCGGCGGCGCCAGCGACGGCGACGAAAACAAGCAGGAGGAGGAGGGATGATGAGGAGCAAGGAGGAGGAGCGTGGAGAAAGAGGATGAGGAAGGGCGAGGCGGAGGAGGCGAAGGAGGAGGGAGGAGGAGGAGGAGAACGAGGAGGATGCGGAGGCGGAGGAGAAGGAGGGGGAGTAGGAAGAGACAGACCAAGATCGCGACTACCGCGCCCGCGACGGAAGCGGCCGACGCCATAGGCGGGCGCGCGCCAGCGATCTGGCCACTGTCATCCCCGACCCTGCTGCTGACATATGGCTACAGTCGTTGTCGTCGTCGTCGACGTCGTCGCCGTCGTCCCCTTCGCCTTCATACCTGTCCTAGTCTTCATTGTCGTCGTCGTCGTCGTCGTCGTCGTCGTCAAAGGGGGGAATAGAGGACGCGGATTGGGGGCGCCCGTCAGTGCCGATACGGTTACTTCCTGGGACCTCTCCCGGGGCACGTTCTGACGAGGATTTCGAATCGAATCCAGCGGTGGCGACGAGGGCCTTCCAGCAGGCCCTAAACAGCGAACGCGAGGGAAGGGTAACGGAATCGGGGCCTTCCCCCCCGCTGAAGGGCTGAAGGATGAGGAGGGGGAAGGGGTGATTGCAGCTGGCGGAGGTTCCCAGGCGTCTTATTTCCAACCCTCCTGTGGTGTTGGGTACTCGTTTTGAATTGAGCAGTGTGGCCTCCTCCTCCTCCTCCTCCTCCTCCTCCTCCTCCTCCTCCTCCTCCTCCTCCTCCTCCTCTCCTCCTCACCTCCTTGTCTCCTGTTTCCTGTGTTCCCTTCTCCTCTTCTCTCGTGCCGTCTGCGATCTGCGAAACTGTCACCACTTTCGTGGGCTCCTGGGAGGCCCAGCGGAGGTGGGTCCCACGCGGACCACCTCGGGACCTCGCCGCTCCCTGGGGGGCTTGCGATCTGCGCAACTGTCGCAACTTTCGTGGGTTCCTGGGAGGCCTAGCAGAGGTGGGTCCCACGCGGACCACCTCGGGACCTCGCCGCCCCCTGGAGGGCTTGCGATCTGCGCAACTGTCGCCACTTTCGTGGGCTCCTGGGAAGCCCAGCGGAGGTGGGTCCCACGCGGAGTACCTCGGGACCTCGCAGCCCCCTGGGGGGCTTGCGATCTGTGCAACTGTCGCCACTTTCGTAAGTTCCTGGGAGGCCCAGCGGAGGTGGGTCCCACGCGGACCACCTCGGGACCTCGCCGCTCCCTGGGGGGCTTGCGATCTGCGCGACTGTCGCCACTTTCGTGGGCTCCTGGGAGGCCCAGCGGAGGTGGGTCCCACGCGGACCACCTCGGGCCCAGGAGGCCCCATAAGGTTGCCCAATAGGCTTCAAAACTGCTTCCGAAAAGGAGAAAAAAAACAGAGCCCTCCCACGACGCCCCCACGAACATCTCAGCGGCTTCAATACCACCCACAACCCAGGCGCGGTGGCAGAACGAGCTGGGGGCCATTCGATACTGCCCATAGAGCCCCAGCTCAGCTCTCCGCCTGCATATTCCTCGTGTGGCGCAGACATCCAGTCCTCCCCCCGGATCGGCGGCATTGGCCGGAAGCCGCTACCATGCCCTCCCGACACCCCCCGGCAGCCCAGGTTGGGACTTCCACGATCGACTGGGCCCCCGGCTCGGGCCCCCAACCCGCCGCCGAAACTCCGCGGGCCGCGGGGGCGCGGGGAGCGGGGCCCAGGGGGCAGGGGCGAGGCCCCGAAGCCAATGCAACTGTTTGTTCTGCTCGCTGGCCGCGAGATCATTCATGGCTCGGCCCTGGAGCTCTCGTCCTGGAGGACCTTCCACTGCAGCATTCGCGCAAGACTGCCAAACTCTATGTCGTAAGGTTTCTGCCTCTGCCTTGCAGCGTCTGCGCGCGTCGGGGAATGCCAGGAGCACCTTGGACATTCTCGCCTTGGACATTCTCGCGTCCGCGGCCTGTGCAAGCCCTGCTCCGTTGTCAAATGCTGATGCCTGCTGCCACAGGCTGGCGCCGACGGAGTTGACCACCGCGGTCGACGCATTGGGCTGGTCAAATTCTTCAAAAGCCCTCCCGATACTCTGGAGCTGGCCTCGCTTGAGCAACTCGTCGTTTCCCTCAGGGCCCGCCCAGTGCAGGGGCTTCCTGGGAGTCCGCTGGAGGTCCAGAAGGGCGACGGTGATGGCGGACATCGGCCTGTGGACCCTCGGCCAGCTTGGACTTAGCTGTTCTCATCGATATGCTGATCGCTGGTGTTTGTCTGGCCTTTTCTTCAGGTATCCTCCTGCTGGCGCAAGCTTCCAGGTCGACCCCTACATCAGGCGCTGTTACATCGTGCAATACCTATCCACCTTTCTGCCGATTCAATCACGATCTCGCTCGCTCGCATGTTCGGGAAACCCATGGGCCTAGACCAATGGGAAAGCTCATGGTCGAGGTCTGTCGGGCCCTCGTTCAGGGCCGCCGAGAACTCGATGGCGCGACTGCGGACGTCGTCTGCGCGTCCCTCTGCCCTGTACTGCCGGCCGAACCAAAAATTCTAATGGTGCAGCAAGCCGCGCAGGGTCGCCGCCACAACGCGCTGCGCCGCCATGCCCCCTGGTAGGGTGCCCCATGTCGGGGCGATTGCTGTTGGGGAACTCTGTCTGCTGCGCAAGTACCCAGGTACCCAGGTGCAGGGTGCAGTTGGATCGTCAATGCCACGGCACTGAATGGGCAAGTATACTTCCCTGCCTTGTTGACTGCCAAGATGGGGTTTGGGGAGTCGTGAGAAAACTGAAACGCCCGTGACAGCAGTTACGCGCGCGGCGTCCAACTCGGTCGAGTGCGCGTCGGAAAGGAGCCTCCGTGGCGCTGCCTAAGCTGCCGCGATCCCCTTGACTGCATCATCCTACGGTGTTACCTTCGTTCACTTCATCGCCCACCTGCCTGGGCGCGCCCCCCCGCGTTGCCCTCGCAATCTGGCGGCTAGGGCGAGCGTCGCGATCGAGCGGCCTTGCCGTTTTCCTCGGAGCGCGAGAAAGGCGGGCGCGCAATCGCTGCCATGGCCACGCTGGCGCCCTCGCCCTGGTGGGGAATTTCTTCCAGGCTGCGATTGGCCTCGACAGGCAGCCCCGGGGCATCCTCGGGCCCAATGTTCGAGGCAGCCCCGCGATTTCCTGTTCAGGGGTTCTGACCGGGAGCTCATTCAACTGGGCGACGGTCATGGCCTCGAGCTCCGCGGGGTTCCCCTTGGCCAATCCGTTGAAATCCATGGAGCGCTTCTCGACCTGGTCTACGTTCTGTCTGTCCCCAGCCCACCGTTTCTTCCAAGTCGTAGCTCGATTGGCCATGGAGAATTTCGTGGCCCGCTGAGGCTGGCTGCTCGAGCTCCCATCCTTCTGCTTCGTTAAGCGCATTCGGCCTGACCTGCTTGCGAAGGCCCCCGAGCTCGCTGGCACCGCGTGCCCGCGCTGCGAACTCTTCGACGACGCAACTCGCAACCGCCCTCGAGGCCTCTTGAGAACTCCCATCTGCTGCGTCCGCCAGGCTGCCCAGCTGCTGCCAGGGGCAGAGCTTTGCCTTGGAAAGAGCACGCTGCCGTGATAACCTATCCGACCAGCTTAGTGCTGGAGCTGATGTCTTACTGGAAGTCAAGTGCAACTGTCAGGGCATGGCGGCGATCTGCTCAGTCACCCTGCGGTTCTTCGCACCTTTGGCTTCGGCGCGCGCCGGCAAGCCAAGATGCGAGTAGGCGATGCACCACTTATTGAAATCGCAATGCGTCGATTGCAGCGGCGCGCCCATGACTCGGACGGGGTGCTCCACGAGCGGCCAGGGAGCGGTTCCACTTCGAAACTGGGCTCGGTCTTCCTCGGAAGCGCGCGAAGCTTCACACTTAATCCTTCTACCTTAGAGAGCTGCCCGCCGAAACTTTCAGCTTGCCTCTGCGCGCGCGACGCTGCAGGCGAATAGCGCGCGCGACCTGACGTCAGCAGGCGCCCCTTTTCGGATCGCGGCCACGTCTTGCCTCTAGCAATTTTGCTCCTCCAGAGGTCCTCCGCAGTTCAGGCGCCCGCGAACTCATCGCGCGCTTCCTCGACCCCTCCGCGCGGTAGTCTAGACGCTTCCCTTGATCTCCTTCGCCCCGCTGGAAGCCCCCTACCCCAATGTCGCCCATGGGGCTGGGGCCCTCCAAGTCTAGGTAGGGGGCGGCTTCGCCTTGCGATTTCGTCTTACCTACTTGTTGGGGCTGGGGCTCTCCATCGGCTAGTGTTGCTCTTTCCGTCAGGGTTGGTTGCTGCTGGGGCATGCTCTCTCGGGCGGGGCAGACTTGCGCGGGCAAGGCAGAAGGATCCTGCAAATGCAGCGCACAGCGTCACTCGCCCCGCTCCCAGAGCGCGCCGCCCACCCCCCATCGCAAGCGCCCTTGACCTCCCTCGAGACAGGCGCCATGTCTACTGAAACAACTGCATTGTCAGAAAGCGGGCCAGATCCAGTCGTGCTAGCAATGACTATGTAGCTCGGGGTTCGCACCGCGGCCGCCATTGCCCGCGCCCGGGGCCCAGCTCTGCGGGGGTCGCAGTTCCAACCGACAGCTGGTATCCAGGGGCGCCCTTGCGCGCGATGAAACCGTCTTGCGTTTCCTAGCTTCCAGAGATTCCTGTCAGCCATGCCCGCGCACGGGCCCAAATGCGCCTGCCCGACAAGGGACTGCCCCCAATGCGCCCTCGTCGAACTTGCCGCGGATTCCGCGGAAACGACTGGGCCCTCGGCGGGCTTGCACTTACTTACGCCCTGACGCGTGCCATTGAATTGGCTGGCTCTGGAAACGGCGTGCGCGACCGAATTTGCCGCTGCGGTCGGCCTGCAAGCGACGAGCGTTCCGCCTGCAGACGCGACGCGAGTCCATGCTCACGCAGGGGCGACGATCGACCTCCAACCACTCTGGTGCATCTCATGACAAAGAACATGTGTTCCGCCTGGTGTCTGGCGGTGCTCTGAGGGGCCCGCCGCGTTCTACTCGCGCCGCGCCCCTGTGCGCCCCATTGAAAACAGCCTTGCACGCCCCCCCCCCCCCCCCCCCCCCGGCCGAAGAGGTGATGGCACGCGAACGAATCTTGGGGGGAACCAATTTGCCTGTGCGAGACCTGTCTCTCACCAGCTGGTCATGCGGACTGATAGCCCCCAACTGCAACGCACACGTCGTCGATGTCGATCGCGTTCCCACCCGCTGCCTTCAACGCCTCGAAACTGCGCTCGGCGCCTGCTGCGTTAGCTGCGCGCGCGTTCGATGGCGGTTAAATTTGAGCGACTGATCCTGGCTCGCCGCCAGACTGCGTTCCAACGCCATTCGTGCCCGATGTGCTGGTGGGGGCTGGAGCGGAGCTGGCTGAAGCCGCGGAGCCCCTCGTGCGCGAGCGGCCGATGGGGCGCGGCTGTCCGTGGAGAGACTCAGAGACGCAGCCAACGGTACTAGGCTGCCCGCTGAGGAGGCGTTCGCTGTGTCGTCGCCAGTGGCAACTCCCCTTCAGCCGATTCCCTCGGCCCGAGACCAAGTCCTCTAAGGGGCTCTGCTGCACCCAGGCCTTGGGTCCCAACCTGTTTCAGGGGCGATGGTGGTCGCCGATGCCGCCGCCGTCGCGAAGCGGCCAACAGCCTCGGGCTGCCCGCTGGCAGGCATCCGCGATTTCGTCGCCATAGACAAGCAGCCAACCGCCGAAGGCTGCCCGCAGAGAGACATTCGCGCTGCCGTCGCCGCAGAGAAAAGGCCAGCCGCGTGAGGCAGCCCGCTGTGAGACATTCGTAATGTCGTCGCTGCAGAACAGGGGCCAATAGCCTGAGGCTGCCCGCTCAGGGACATGTGTGATGCCGTCGCCGCAGAGAAGCGGCCACCGACACGAGGCTGCGCGCTATGAGACACTCGCGATGTCGTCGGAATAAGGAAGCGGCCATCATCCTGAGGCTGCCCGCTGTGAAGCGATCTGGTGCTAAAGAGACTGCGGTGCTGATTCGACTGCCTCATCAGCTGCCACGCGAGCCCCGATATCATGAGCAGGTTTCGCTGGCGACGTCGCTGGCTGTGCTGCTGGGACCACCTTGGCACCTTGTGACTCAGTGTTGGCTTGTCTTTTTCTGCCCGTCACGTGACCGAGTTGCTCCCTGATGCCCCTCTCGAGCGGCACTCGCGTCTCCCACAGCTTCGCGGAACAAGATCATGGAGCATCTCTTGAAACGGCTTGGCTGCTTCAGTCCCCCGTCTCTCCGATTCCTGGAAGCCCGTCTCGTCCTTGTCGTAACACTGTTTGACGGCTTCCATACCAATGATTTGAAAACACGTAAAAATCGCAGCCAAGGCCGCCCAGCCCTCCACCAACTGCCGCGGGCTGATCTGCGGGATGGTTTTGGTGTCGCCGCGTGCTCCATGCTGCTGCCGCATAGCTTGGAGGGGCTCCCTGACCTCTATGTCTGCCTCCTGGAGGTCCCTGCTGGTCCGCTTGATCGTTGATGTGGATTGGGCCGCTGCTTCTCCCAATTTGCCAAATGTCTCGTCTTCTGCATTGCGTATTTTCGCGAGTTGCTCCTGCTTGCGCTCCGCACGGTCGAAACGCTGACGTGCGGTGAAAGCTCTTCGGTTCCTGGAGGCTGCCGCACCGCGAGCGCTCCGTACCTCTTGGCGGCGTCCACGTCTCCTGCCTCGCGCGCGAGGCGCTGCAATTCCTGAGCCTTCTCTGGGGCAATGGCTGGGGTCGGGCCTGACTGCAAGCCGGGACCGTTGGACTTGCCCCCATGCAGGGCCTGTCCCTCCTCCATATTTGCCATCACCTTTGCGACCGCCTGTGCCGCCCTTGGCGTCGTGGGTTTTCTGGCTTGGAATCCCGCTTCCATCATCCGGCTCCTGCGGATGCGTTCTCAACCTAGCTAGCATAACAACGCTTACAATGGAGCGCTCGTTCGAGTTTTTTCGGCAACTGCAGTGGTGGCACAAGATGTGGCCCTTGGGGTTGGACACCGTGCACCACTCGTCGCGCGCATACCAGGTCGTAGGAATTGTCGTTCTGTCCGCGGTCCTGTAAGGATGGCATCTTGTATGATCCTCCCCAGCGCCGCGGTCTCGCCTGCCATGGTGTGTGTTTCCCATGCGGTCCCGATTCAAATCACACATGTCGTGAGGAGATGCCAGAAGTTAGTCGTGACGTCTTGCCCCACCAGGGAACCTCGCTGGTGCCCCCTCGGGGCGGAAATGTAAGAGTCGAGCTGTCTGGCTCGCAACAACATGTGGGCGTTTCGGAAGTATGCGGTTGCAGCGCTCCTTGAGCGCGAAACGGCTAGACCGACGCCGACGATCACGGCGACATTGACGACGAGGCCGACGCCGACGTCGCTGACGACGGCGAGGCCGACGACGACGCCAACGACGACAACGACGACGACGATAACGACGACGACGTCGCTTCCCTCCCTCTCTTCCCCGATCCTTCCCTCCGAATATCTGGCTGCGAGATGGGGTGCCCCCCAAGCAAACGTTGTCCACAATTGGCAGTTCCCCGGTTCATCCATGACTCGCCCGAGGGAATACCCAATGGTTTCCCGCTCGCAAGCCTCGCAATTTGGTCAGTGATCCTCCGTCCCTCCTCCGTCCCTCCCTCCTTCGCCTCCTTCCATCCCTCCTTCTGATGATTCACATCCTCCCCAGGCCGACTTCATAATTTCCCTTGCTTTCCGAATCGACGCGTCTAGCGCTTCGCGTCGTCCGCCGGCCTGTCTTCTCTGTGCGTTGGACCGCCCGGGGCTCAAGGCTGGGCCTCCCTTCGCTTGGGAGGGGTGGCGGTAGCTACACGAGTACCCCCCACGGTTCTCAGGATTGAGTCTTCAGCAAGACGGCGCGCAGACTGCTGCACTGCAAAACCCGACCGGCCGACCTGAGGGGCGAAACGCGGCGGGGTCTAGTTCAGGCGGGGAGCAGCAAAACATCGGCGATACATCGCGATAGATCGCCGACAACCCCCGGTAACGAATCCACGCGCTCCTCGGCACAAAGACGTACCTTCAGCATATCCCGACCGACCGACCCCCTCGGGATCGACCCTGGGCAATCCTGACCTTTGGCCTTCGGTGTGCCATCCGTTGCGTGCGGTGCGATGGCGGCGGCGTGCGTGCGGTAGAGGGAAGCATTTATTGAACACTCCCCCTCCCCCCCAAACTCAAAGTTGGCACGCGCGGGGGAGGCTGCGGTCGAGGTGCAACTCATCAGACCCACCGCCAACTTTGAACAATGGGGGGAGGGTGAGGCGTTGACAGATGAATGTGGCATGAATGTTCGCTATTTTTTCCGAGGCCTGGTGTTTGGGTTTTGCCCGAGGAACCCCTAGAAACCGCGCACCCAGCGTCACTCCGGCGAAGCGTCACGCTCACGTGCCGCCGTCCCTCCTCTATCGGCCCCCATGTGGGCGATCAGTGTGCGATTGGAAACCGATGCGCCCCCACATTAGCCTATCCCCTTCAGTGGCTGCCCCTGCGACGGCTGAGATCGAGCCAGAACACCAGAATGAGTCCAATTTCTGAATCTGCGAGGGCTAAAACCGAGCCAGAACACTCGGCCCCCTGGAAATTCTGGCGAAAGGAACCTTTGATCTGAAATCGAACCAGAAAACCATAATTCGTGACCCTCAGGTGCGGATGCGGGAAAGGCGAAATCAAGCCAGAACACAAGAGCGAACCTCATTTCTCCACCAAGCCGACCAGGAACACCACCAGCAGAGTGAGTCTCATGTCTGGCTCTGCGAGGGCTGACATCAAGCCAAAACGCTACGCTACAGTGAGTCGATTCTGGGCCGCCGCCGGACCGGTGAGACGCGTACCCCCGACCCCCCCTGTGGAAGTCTGGATGAAGGGAAATCGAACCACAACGCAAGGGCGAGCTGCACTTCTGGACCCAATCGAGCCAGAAGATTAGAGTGAGTCTCATTTCTGGCTCTGGGAGGGTTGACATCGAGCCAGCACGCCAGAGTGAGCTTCATGTCTGCACCACATCGAGCCAGAAGACCATAGTCAGCTCATTTTCTGCAACAAGTCGAACCTGAACACTATAATGATCGCTGCAGGCCCGCTCTGCTGAGCCGCCGCCAGGCGTAGGAGACGCTCCCCCCGGCTGACCCTGTGGAGATTCTGGTGAGGAGGAAATCTTGGACCACTGCGAGCACTCTCGGGCGAAAGACAGGCGCGCAAGACGCATCTCCTAGTCTCTACGGAGCCAGCCTGAGACCTCTCGATTGCCTGCTCGGGTCTCTGGGGAAGCCTCTCGGCAGCCTCTCGGAGGCCCTCTTAAAGCCTCTTGGGGCGCCTTGCGGGGCCTCTTTTGGGGCCTCGTCTGGGCTTCTCGGATCCTTTTGAGGAGTCTTTGGGGGGCCTGCTGGCGGCCTTCGGGGTCCTCTTGGAGCAGAGGCCTCGAAATGTCGGTTGGAATTCCCCCTCTTGGGGCCCCTACTGGGGACCCTCCTGGGCCCTCTTGGGAGGTCCTGGGTGCCTCTTGGGCCGTCTTGGGGCCCTCTTGAGTCGTCTTGAGTCGTCTTGGGGCCTTCTTGAGTCGTCTTGGGGCCCTCTTGGGCCGTCTTGGGGCCCTCTTGAGCCGTCTTGGGGCCTTCTTGGGGATATCATGGGCCGCCTTGGACGCTGCCGAGATCAAACTTATCCTGGCGAAGGGCCAACCAGATGCAGTTGCGAGTATCGCCAGTGTGGGTCTCACCTTCGGTTGATCTCCTTATGGTGCAATGAAGCGTGTAAAGGTTGTTCCGAAATGGGGCGGGAACGCATGCGGGCGCAACCATTGGGCCTGAGGTGGTGCTCTATATGGTGCCACGAAAATGGTGAGGGGTGTGCCGACATGAAGCGGGGCCGCCATGCGAACGTCGCCACGCGTGAGGGGCGTGCCGAAATGGTCGAGGGACGTATGCGAACGTCGCCACTGGGGCCTTCGGTGGAGCTCCGCATGGGGCCACGAAACGTGTGAGGGGTGTGCCACAAATGGGCGCGGGGCCGCCATGCGAACGCTGCCAGTGGGGTCTTCAGTGAAGCCCCCTACGGGGCCACGCAACGTGTGAGTGGTGTGCCAAGAGGGGCCCCCGGTGGAGCTCCCTATAGGGCCGCGAAACGTGTGATCGGTGTGCCAAAATGGGCGCGGGGCCGCCATGCGAACGCTGCCACTGGGGCCTTCGGTGGAGCTCCCGATGGGGCCACGAAGCGCATGAGGGGTGTTCCAAATAGGGGGGCCGCCGTGCCTGGGGCATTCGGTGGAGCTCCCTATGGGGCCACCAAACGCGTGAGGGGTGCGCCAAAAGGGGCGCGGGGCCGCCATGCGAACGCTGCCACTCGGGCCTTCGGTGGAGCTCCCGATGGGGCCACGAAGCGTGTGAGGGGTGTGCCAAGATGGGTGCAAGGCCGCCATGCGAACGCTGTCAGTGGGGCCTTCTGTGGAGCTCCCTATGGGCGCGGGGCCGCCATGCGAGCGGAGGGGGAGGACGAGGAGGGGAGGAGGGGGAGGAAGGGGAGGAGGGGGACGCGGGGCGCTGTCACTTCAAATCGAAGACCCAACACCACAGGATGGTTGGAAAAACAGATGCTAAAAATGTGCGCTTCCCTCGAGGATTGTGATGATGTTTACCTCTTTGGGCCTTCTGGGGGTTCCTCTTGGAGCCGTCTTGGGTCGTCTTGGGGGCCTCGCCGTCTTGACGCCATCTGGGGCCGCCTGGAAACCATCTTGGCCCGTCTGCGACCCGTTTGGCACCTAGCCCGAGAGCTCCGGGGGGAACCAGGGAAACTCCAGGGAGGCTCCGGGGAGGCCCCCTGGGGAGGCCTCCTGGGGGGAGGGGGAAATTGCTGTATTTCAGGTGCCACTTCAAGTCTTCGGCCCAAAGGCCTCCGGGCCCGGATCTCCAGTATATGATCTGTGTAGTGCGTGTGTATATATGTATGTGTAAAGCCCTTACAAGCGACCTGTTGAGGGAACCGTGTGAAGTCGGGGACGGGAGGAGGCTGCACAGCTTCAAGGGGGGAGCGGGATCCCACTCGATGGATGCCAACTCTGTGGCCAGCGGGGCAATCCCGAGCCCTCGACAAGCCCGCTTGTGGGGCCCCATACCTGGGTCTGACTCCGGTCTGGCTCCAGTCAGCGTGGTAACAAACTGCAAACTGTTGCATCCCAGCCCGACCCTCGTCCGTCGTGCCGTCGAGACCATACCTCTTCAAGGGAGCCCGCGAGGGGATCGAAGCCCTGGGCACGAGCAATGCACTCGCCGAAACACCTGGACGAAAGGTAGCGCTTCATTACATCCCCACTGTCTTCGCCGCATCCCAGAAGACAGGCTTCATGAACATTGGCCAACCTAGGGACGGAAAGAGGAGCACGAGGGAGACATCGTCTTGTTTTGCGACTCCAGCCAGAGACACCATTAAGACTATCATCAGGCGAAAATATTCGGTTCTAGCGCCGAGTCAGCCTGACCAGCACACGTACTCGCATGCACACGCAGAAACAACACACATTCTTTCATACGGAAACACGCACGCACGCACGCACGCACGCACGCACGCACGCACGCACACACGCACGCACGCACGCACGCGCGCCCGCACGCCCGCGCGCGCCCGCACGCCCGCGCGCCCGCACGCCCGCGCGCACGCGCGCACGCGCGCCCGCGCGCACGCGCGCACGCACACACCCACACACACACACACACCCACACACACACACGCACACACACACACACACCCACACACGCACACACACCCACACGCACGCACACACACACACGCACACACACACACACACACGCACACGCACACGCACACGCACACACACACACACACGCACACACACGCACACACACGCACACACACACACACACACGCACACACACACACACGGGAGGGAAAGAGAGAGAGAGAGAGAGAGCGCGGGTATCGGGCAGGCCTCCTTGTGAGGGCCGCCCGATGCAGGACGCGGCGGGGCTCGGCCCCGCCGGCCGCTCAGGCCTCCTTGCCGTGCGCGGGCAGGCGCATGATGCCGCGCAGCTTCCAGAAGCCCACGGCCATGGCCGCGCCCTGCCCGAGGTGGAGGGCCGGCGGCGCGCAAAGGGGGGGAAGAGAAAGCGAGGAGGCGAAGGCCCTCTCTCGGAGGGCGGCGGGGCTGCTCTCGGAAGTCCCCCGCGCCTGCTCGAGAAGTTGCCCTCTGCGCCTTCTCGGGGGAGGCCTATGGGGAGCTGCTCAGAGGTCCGGGGAACGTGCGAGCCTCCCGAGGAGAGGCCCGCCCCTGCCCGCTCCCCCCCCCCCCCCGGCGCGCCGCCGAGAAGACGTGGAAGACGTGGGCGAGGCTCCAGCTCGTCTGGGTCACCAGCAGGAGCAGGGCCAGGCAATTCAGGCCCATGGCGCCCACCGCGAGGCAGAGCCACCTCGCGGCGGCCGCGGCCTGCGCCTGGGACGCGGGGCCGTAGGACCCGTACCAGAGCAGCGCCGTGGAGTAGAAGCACGAGGCCAGGAACATGGCGTGAAGAAGAAACAGCTGCGCGCATCTAATAAGCTTTCGGAGCCCCGAGCGGGGATCATTGCATCGGCGCTGGACCCCCCCCCCCCCCTGGTCCCTGGCGCGCAGAGCGCGCCGAGGGCGGCGCCAAAGGCGCCGCCAGGGGGGGGGCCCAGCGCCGATGCGAGGAATCCGCGCGGAGCGCCGAAGGTCTACGTATGCTGATCCCGCTTTTGTCTTATTCGGATAGCGGCGAGCACGCACAGCGAGTCCCCGCGGTAGCAGGGCATCGTGTTCGGAGGCAACTCATGGGAGCCTCCCATGCCAACTGTCCGGCTCCTGCTCCTGCGAAGAACCGCTAACCGACGTTCATCGACGCTGGCCTACGCCAAACTCGACGCTAATCGACGCGACTGCACTCTGAAGATGGAATTCCGAGAGCATACAAGAAAGGGGGCCCCAGGACACACACACACACACAAATACACACAAATGAAACGATTCCCCATATGTTCCCATATTTGGAGGGTTTTTTTGTCTTCCCCCCCACTTCCCATATTTTCCCATATTTCCTGGGGAGTCGACGATTCATTGTGTCTGTGTGCTTCTCCCCCTCCTGATACAAGGCCCCCATGACTTGCGACCGAAGGCTCGTGGACACGAGGTCGAACGGCACGCCGAGCGCCGCGCCACCGTAGCTCCTCCCGTCGACGCGGTGCCACGGGCTGAGCCACACCTCGCCGGGCAGCCGCACGACGACGACGACGACGACGACGACGACGACGACGGCGATCGAGAACGATCGACGACGACGATCGACGATCGACGACGACGATCGACGACCGCGACGATCGACATAGACGATCGACGACGACGACGATCGACGACGACGATCGACGACGAAGGTCGACGACGGCGATCGACGACGGCGACGACGATCGACGACGACGATCGACAACCACGCCCACGATCGACGGCGACGACGACGATCGACGACGACGATCGACGACCACGACGACGACGACGATCGACGGCGACGATCGACGACGACGACGGCCGACGACGGTGTCGCGGGCTGAGCCACGCCTCGTCGGGCAGCTGCCCGCCAAGCGACAGGTCCACGCCGCTCACCGCCGCGGCCGCGTAGCCGCACGCCTGCAGCGCCGCGAGCGCGAGGTGCACCCCGACCACGCCCTGGCGGAGGGCTGCAGACTGGAAGCAGCGGCCCCAGACCTCCTCCTCCTCCTCCTCCTCCTCCTCTCAAAAGTTCTCCTCCTCCTCCTCATCCCAAAAGTTCTCCTCCTCCTCCTCCTCCACTTCCTCCTCCCACTCCTCCTCCTTCTCCTCCTCCTCCTCCTCCTCCTCCGCCTCCTTCTCCTCCTCCTCCTCCTCCCAAAAGTTCTCGAATGCAGACCCCTATCCCATTTTCCTTCTCTCCTTCTCTGACTCTTTCCCTCTATGGGCAATGAACCTCCTCCTCCTCCTCCTCTTCCTCTACCTCCTCCTCTTCCTCCTCTTTCATCTCAGCTGGACCGGACCCCATCAAATCGTCAAACATGAAGACGGGACTTTTTCATGTTCTTCAACCCCGGGGGGCCTTTACTGGCCCTCGGGGCCGTCAAAAAAACGACTCATCGGAAGAGAAGCCCGTCCCGGGGAATGGGTCACGAGAGCGGCCCCAGACCCCCTCGGGTCCCAAGATGCCCCTAAAACGCGCCAAGGGGACTCCGCTGGGGGACCCTTCCTCTGTGTGCTGCCCACCCCGCTGATCGAGGCAGCTCCTCTGGGCATCGTTTCTGGATGGGCTGGTGGGCTACTTTTTAGTCAGCGGCCGCGGGCGAGCGCGCCGGCGGCGAGTCCAGTCAAAGCGGGGCACGCAGAGACGAATTAAACTAAAGCGACGGAGGGTGGCCAACCTACAGCGGCTAACCGGGACCTCACGCAGCAGCTCAGCGGCGGACCGGCGAGTGAGGGGGCAGCTGAAACTGAGGGCTGGTGGGCTACGCGAAGCGTCTAGAACTGAAGAAGCGGCCCCAGACCCCCTCGGGTCGTTAAAAATTAAACAACTGTGTTTTGCCATATGTATACACTCTCGAACCCCAAGGGAGGCCCTCACTGGCCCTCGGGACCGTCCAAGAACGACTCGGGAAGAGAAGCCGGTCCCCGGGAGTGTCGAGGCCTCGGGGACGGAAGACGTGGAAGAACAAGAAGCTGCCTACTGCATACGCAAGAAGCCGTCGACGCTCCGCGCAGAGTTCCTGGGTCTGCGCTGGGCCCCCACCGGCGGAGCCTCCGACTCCGCCCCTGGCGCGCTCCGCGCCCCAGGGAGGGGCGCCCGACCCAGGTCCAAGGAGTCCACGCGGAGTTCCAGCAGTTTATGTTTATGCCATTCGCCCATGCTCGCAGTGGAGGGAGGAGGAGGGAGGAGGAGGAGGAGGAGGAGGAGGAGGAGGGAGGAGGGAGGAGGAGGAGGGAGGAGGAGGAGGAGGAGGAGGAGGAGGAGGAGGAGGAGGAGGAACGAGGAGGAGTTGGAGTACGAAGAGGAAGAGGAAGAGGATGCGGAGGAGGAGATGTCCTCTTCACTGCTCGCGCAAGCATCCCACCCGCCCACCCGCAACTCGGTCTGCAAGACCCATGCGACGGCGACTGCGAAGAGTGTTTGGCGTTGGTTGGCGTATCTCTGCGGCCGCGCTGGCCCGCGCATGCTCGCGCGCGCAGCGGTCAGCTTGTGCGGCGCGGCCGACGCTGCCGCGGTGGCGCTGACCGCGGCCACTTCAGTGCGAGTCGGTGGCATGGGCGGGCGCTATAGAATGGCATCGCCGACAACGGTAGACACGATGATGAGAGTAGCGATGATGGTGACGATGGTGGCGATGACGGCGGTAAGGCCAATGACGGCGCCGATGTTGATCACGCCCGCCGATAATGATGGTCCTCGCGTCGGCGATGAAGGTTCGTGGTATGATTTGGCATGGATCGTGCCCCCCAGGACGCGCGCAAGGGCGTTCGGATGAGCTCGACATGCGGCGCGAGAGGCCCCTTTGGCAGAATTTGGTGACAATGTTGAAAACTTTGGTGTTCTTCAAAAAGAATTCGCAAGATCGCGCGCGCAGTTGTTTGTTTGAAAACTGATGTTGCAAAACCCAGTGATGTGTGTTCCGGGCACTCGTTCTTGAACTCTAGCGAAACCCAAAAGGCTGTTGAAAGCTTTCGACACGCGCGCGCGACGACGCACACGTGTGATCATCGCCCCATGTCCTGCAGAAAGGATTCTTGCGGCAGCACGCGCGCGACCTCTCGGAGGTCTGCGCGGACCTTTGGAGGGGCCCTAGGACACATACACACATAAATACGCCCAAATAACAGGATGTCCCATATTTTCTGGGTTTTTGTTTTCCCCGCCACTTCCCATATTTTCCAATTTTTTCTCGGGAATCGACGAAAAACTGTGCCTGAGTGTTTTTGTTCCCTCCTGAACCTCCCCCTCCCCTGGCGCGCAGGAGGCGCTGCTAGGGAGGGGGGGGGGGGGGCAGCCCGGGAAAGAGACCCGCGCGGACCCCCGAGAGCTTGCACGGCAAGCTCGTGTCGTGGCGACCGCTGGCGCGCTGTAGGAACAAGGAAAGGTGACACCAACACCAACAGGGCGAGGAGGTGCGAGGAGGCAAGGGGGAACTCCTTTGTGGTGTGGTCCCCCCTCTCGCTCGAGACATCCCCAGCCTCTAGATCGGAGAGGCATCGTGGACCTCCTCGCTGGCGGTGGGCCCCCTGGTGGTGTTGGTATCGCTTCTCCTCCCTCCGACGCTGGTGTCTGACACCGCGTGGTCGTTCAACCTTGAACGATCGCGGCTTCCCGATATCAGAGGATTGTTCGATGCCGGCCGAGCCCATGGCGGCGTTGCTGTTCAAGCCTGCGAGCTCTTTCTGGGGAGCGCGAGCACCGAACTTCAAACGGCTCGGCCTCAACCGCTATGCGAACCAGAAAGACGCAAAGCAAATCGGGATCCCGGCCTGAAAGAGGGAACCTAGCGTGCCACATGCGACTGCGCAATTGTTGCGCGTGGAGGGCGATAACGCCCCGCTCTGCAGTGCCGTCAGCCCTGCCTTTGCC